GGCAATTCGGCAGGTCACGGCCCGCCCACCAGTTATCAAGTAATTAGCGCATAAGCGGGAATTATCCTCGATAGGGGAGCCGTTAATGATCAGAAATATGCAGTTATATAGTGACGTTCCTACAAATACTGCTCCTCCCTGTGCATGTATTTCTGGTACTGTGTCTGATGATGGATACGCAACTGATTTCGAAACGTCAGGTGACTTAAAGTGCTGTCCCAGCGATCGAAACTGCTTCTTCCCAATTACTTTCTGGGACTTAAGTCATAGAGTTACATTTTACCTGGATCCACGAGGCCTGGTATTTAAGTCAGTAAAGGGCCTATCTAAAGAAATCTGCATTATAACAGCCATAAAACTCTTAAATTTATCGTCTTATTGGGCTCCTAAACTACGGTTTAAAAGCATTTCCATCCCTTGAGACAAGTAATTCCACAACTGTCTAATTTATCTACATGGTTCTGCCTTAGTAAAGTGTCACCGTTTATAATAACCTGCGAAATTATCGACCGTAGTTGCAGCACACGTACTGGTTGTATGCCCAGACACGTATGTCGCTGGTATTCTGCCACTGGTTGACCGGAAGAACACGCGTCTCGGCATATAGCTGGTACCTCTGTTGCCAATATGGGCAATTATTACATTAATTATACTAATGAGTGCTTGTTGGCAGCTTGTAAATATTACGTGATTATCAGTGCCAATATTCATATCCAATTTTGGTCTACAGTTACAGACTCTTAAATATACGCATCTACCCCAAGCTAGAAATTAATTTCTGATGAAATTAAAAGAGCTGACAAGATGACAATACAAACGAAAATGCGAGCCCTTGAAAAGAATTGAGTAGCAGTAGACGCGATCGGTGGAATAAGAACTTTATTCTCCTGACGTTCTAGATTCCTTTTCGGACCTTTTGTTATTAAAGACAGTAGCCAATGGTGGGTTCGAGAAGGAGTTCGAAACGTCGAATGAATAAAGTTCTCGTCCCGGCTATCATGTCTACTTCGTCCCATTGATTTGACCTACGACAATATGCTAATCTTAGAGTAATAGGATGAACGGCTCTCTCATGTTTAGGACTTGAACTGTGGCCTTAGAATGGCAGTTCGGTCGACAGAAAATCAAAAGCGCAGCTAACGACCACGTTAGAAGGATACGAATGTAGTTCTTAAATTAATACTGCATACTTTTTCACGATTGAAAAAGGTAGCATTTTAAACTCAAAACTCGTCAGGAAACTGCACTACTGAATACGACAAAAATGGCCTTATCTGCATAATGTAAGTCCATAAACATGACCATAATTTAAGTCGTTTTTTTTTAATTTCAGCAAGTAGCCTTTGACCATCTGACTGTGAATCTAGCGCTGGAGTCGGTGTTCGCCCATGAAAGCTTTCACTTTAAGTGGGTCTGTGATGGCGGTTTCGTTGAGAGCATCAAAACAATGGTGAAAGAATTCAAACTAGCTCGGGGCTTAATCGTAAGTCGCGGTCAGAAATGCGTTTTTCTTACCTTTTTTATTGAGCATAGACTCCCTTTGACATTTTAGAGATTTGATTTGCTATCTGATAAAATTCCCCTTTGGGATCTTGTTATGACCCGCGCCTTGTACGACGGCTGTTCTTAAAGCCAGCAAGCGAGAGGAGG